CATCCTTATCACATGTGATAGTAAGCGTGATGGGACCTTGTGATGTGCGACGATGTGTTCTATGACTTACGTCATGTCAAATGTTGTTTGCGTCTATGATTTAGCATCACATGTGATGGTTTTAATGGATTATAATATTATATCAACAACACTTTTATCATATGTGATAATACTTGTGAGGGGCTTAGTGGTGTAAGAGCGACTTGGCCCACAACCAAGATCACATCGAAAATCGGCTGTGTATCTGATTTAGTATCACATGTGTATCATATGTGAAGAATAATAGTATCACATGTGATTGTCTATAATAAAATGGTGTTTTCGCGTTCTCGTAAAATAAAGGTGTTTTCGTTTGTACCATTCCCTACATACATACATACATACATACATACATACATACATACATACATACATACATACATATATATATATATATATATATACAGAAAGAGATAGTATCAAACGATAACGACATCTATTTAAAAGAACATGAAAACGGACAAATCACATGCAAAATCACATGTGATTTTATATTATTGGTCAAAAAAAGTGTCTGAGCGACTTGTGGTTGCGTCTTCAAGTCACCGGGTAAGGTTGCCTGAATCACATGTGATTTTGTATGTGATGTTAGTGTAGAATCACATGTGATTTGCCCGTTTTCGTGTTCTTTTAAATATGTACCATTCTCGTTTGATCTTCTCTCTCTCTCTCTCTATATATATATATATATGTATGTATATATATATATATATATACATGCATGATACATATATACATACAGAGAATGATTCAAATGAGAACACCCCTGTTTTGCGAAAATGTGAGAACACCCATGTTTTGCGAAAATGCGAGAACATCTCTTGGCTAAGCATTGGTTTTTAAATCACAAGTTTCAAATTTTTTGAGGGACTTTTAAAATTTTGAAATATTAAAGACATGTAGGGGTAAAATTGGAAATCGGAATCCAAAAACAAATAACACGATCAGATAATGCCAATCACCGTGGAGGTGATAAACATGTAGTGAGTGATCATTGTTATCACAAATCTGATGTCGAATATTAGTAGGAAAAAAAAATAACATGCTTTACATCCAGGAGGCGATAGAAACTGAAATTAGAGCAAAATCAAGAGGCGTCGAATAAGAAAATCGAAAACAGAAGATGTATGGTCTACATATCACACGGGTTATCGTATATGCATCCTATTTTGATTTCGCATTATCAAGAAACAATAGTCGAATCACATATTTACCATATTCCTCAGTTAGTAGAACTAGGGCAAAAATGATTCAAATGTGGAGGCATCGATATATCACACACTTATCATATAGAATCACCACATCGTTTTTGAATCAATGGGTCCATCGAAAATCTGATTTTTTGAAACGCACAACTTCGATTTGATCCCTGTATCAGACAATCACACAATTATCACATTTGAATGAAAACTGACCAAGTAATTATGGAAAAATTGGTAGTATGAAAACTGATTTCAAGAAACAAATAAAATATTTAAGGTTCTAAAATCAAAAATACGTCACGATTTCAAATGTGAAAGATGGATGTGATAACATGTAATAAATGTGATAAGAGCGAAATTACCGATTAGTTTACTCAACTGTGATATATGGATGTGATAACATGTGATAAATGTATTCAAATATGATATATGATTGTGATAACATGTGATAAATGTATCCAAATGTGATATATGGTTGTGATAACAGTGATTAATTTATGCAAATGTGATATATGGTTGTGATAACAGGTGATAAATGTATTTAAATGAGATATATGGTTCTGATAACATGTGATTAGTTTATCAAGTGTGACATTTGGATAAATCAAGGATATTGATACACAAAGGTAAATCAATTAGTATTACACTGTTTCACCAGCCAGTGATGGATAAATGAAACAAATGTAGTAGTTCGTGGTAAATGGGATAAACGTATTAACATGTTATAATTAAGTGATAAATGTATTCAAATGTGATAAACATATGACAAATGTCACAAATCGGATATTAGCAAAGATCGAAAATTAAGGGATAAATACAAATAATAAAAATAACATAAAATTGATGAAAAATAAATAACTACGTTACTATCCTTAATGCTTTATTTTCATTTATTATAATTTTAATCATGGATTAACTAATTTGGAGGCGTGGACTGTTCTCGTATTTTTGTAAAATAAGGGTGTTCTTGTTTAAATCTCCACCTACACATACATACATATATAAATTTATATACATACATACATACATACATACATACATACATGCAACCAGTGGTTATAAACCCATGAAAATCAATTCAAAAGTATATTTTTACATGGTTTTTTCTACAAAATATTAGGATTTAAAATATTGATTTATATATATTTGTTTAATAATATGGTAGTTTCACATTTATTTTGTTTCATCATGTAAAACTTTTTTACGTGTATTTTTCGTTTTATTAAGCAAAAAAAAAAAAAAAACACGTATAACTTTTTCACAAGGTGAACACAAAAATATGTGATAATGTAAAACAATATCTTAAATCATATAATTTGATTTAAATAAGCGAGTAAAAATGTTTTCATATCACTTCTCACGGACTTGTAACCTTTTTATGATTTCTTATTTGATTATCGTGCTACATACATGCATGCATACATACATACATACATACATACATACATACATACATACATACATACATACATACATACATCCCACATATAAAACTGAATCAATGACTTGGGACCGGATAAAATCACGTTTGTTTGGTAATGAGTTATATTTAAACTAATCAAATCTCGATTTTAGCCCATGTGGTTCAAAGTATGAACCCTGTCGTTATTTTTCAAAATTAGAGCGATGTTATTTTAGATGTATTTTTTAAATTAAAACAAATTTAAGTATATACTCATTTTACAACCCAACTTAGGGATGACCAATTTCAAATCGAACGAACCAGCGTTTTTAGTTCCAGTGTTTTTTATTTTTCGGTTTTTTGCTTTAGTTTCAATCTAGTTCCAACCTGCTGCACATCAAGACTAGTTTTTTTCTCTAGATAGTGACTTCGTTTTCATACACCAAGTAAACATGTTGACATCTGATCAACGATGTAAAATATCAAATACCAGATGATGGGGGCATAAATACCAAAAAGCACAAATAAAATGAATCTTGACGAAAATGTAATTTTCCCATTACTCGAGATGCAAAAATCCACGTTTTCTAAGGACAGGTATCGAGCCTTACAAGTTTGTTTTTAACACGCAAAAAAGAAAAACTAGGCGTGCCAAGCATGGAGTGAAAAATATGCATAGTTGACGTTTATTTAATTTGGGCTTTTTTGACCGAGATTTAAAAAAATTTGCCCGAATCAGGATTCCTGATCTGGCCTAGTACAAGGACTGGGCTTACCAGGACAAGGTTATTTTTGGGGGGATTTTGTTTTGCATCTCTTTATCCCTATCCAAACTGAATTATTTAAAATACTGTGTGTCTAAAATACCAAATTTATCAGTTTATCATATGCATTTTGATTAAGAATGACACAATTTATACAATTATATGATAATATAAAATGAACGCTAAATGTTTTTTGTTCGAGTATGTGAGTGGAAGAAAATTAAAACACTTCTGATATTTTTTCTATATATAATCTATATTACCAAATCCATAATTTACTGTAAATAATATAAGATTATGATAGTTAAATTAGTTTTCTTATAAAACGATATATTTATGAGAATTGACTAAGAGACTGTTTGACAGTTGCTGAATGGTTTGGTGCAGAATAATTAAGTGATAAGAATAATTAAGAGACTTTCACGATACAATACAAAATAAAATGTAACACCGAACTTTTTGCGAGTCAATTTTTTTTGGAACAAGACACCGAATTTGGTGTGGTATGGTTCATACGGCAAAAAATGGGTGTCCCATCTATTTTAAACCTTTTTTAATGTTTTTTTTTTTAAATATATTTAAGGTTTTTGTATTTTATTAAACATTATTTTAGAACATAACTTAATATTGTTTATGTTTATTCATATTATTTTGATTAATATTTTATGCCATGTATTTAAAACTGAATTATAAATAAAAAATAAAAGATAAAAAATAACTGTATAATTTAATTATGTTTTTAATTTGTGTTATCTAAAATTAATGTATTTTTTTGTAATGTAAAATTAATTTAAAAAAAATGTTGTTTTATTTTAATGAGACTTTATTAAATTAGATCTGATAATTATTTATAAATTATAAATATTGTATTTAAAATGTTTTAATAATAATAAAATATGTTTTTTACATTGCTAAGAGGTTGTTTACTTACGTTTTAATTAGTCTTATTGGTCTATCTGGCTTATTAGCTCGTTTGAGTTGTTTACTTTCGACTTATTCGTATAGAACATGACTTAATCGCACAGATAGAAATGATGTGTTGTCCTCATTCAGCCACAAAAATGACACCCCTATCCCTTATTTAAAGCACAACCTCCTTCTCAAATAAGACACCCTATCGTCAGCCTCTTTATGATTTTTTGTTTTGATGTTCAAATAATTAATATTGGGAAGTAAATTGGTTATTTATGTTATTTAGACTGTTAATTTAAATAAAAAAATAAATAACAACATCTATTTATTCAGACAAACAAAGTTATTCATAGATAACTTAATAAAAAGTTTGATAAACTGGGCCGGTTGGATATGCACTTTGGAGGTCGACCACTTATTTTAGTTACAATACTTTATTCTTTAAAGGTAAAACCGGTTCGCCGTGAAGTTGGTGTAAGCCGGACTGATCTCAACTCCGGCGTCTGTTTTCCGTTCACGTCCTCCATCTCTCTCTCTCTCTCTATATATATATATATATACATATTTAAAGCCTCCCTCCCTCACTCTACAACCACATCACATTCATTCTTTTAAATCACGAGATCTCCATCTTCTCCATCCATCCCATCCCTTTCTTTCCATGTTTCTCTCTGCTGCATCTCGTCGGTGGTTCTATTTTAATTTCCACCACCCACATTGCTAACATTACAGAGAGAAACCTTCAACCTTCGTCTCTGTGTGTGTGTGTGTGTTCTTCCTGCTTCTTTTGGAGTAAGTTTGAGAGAGAAAGAAATAACCAGCCTTAAAAAATGGCGGATTCCGGTAAACCCATCTCGGAACTTGGGCTTCTTCATACACTCCCCGGTCGCCTGAAGTTGCTTGTTTCCGACGCCGACAATACTAACAAGCCCGACTTCCGTCAACTGGATTTGGGTTCGCCTGTTTCGCCGTTACGACCTCGACCCGCCATTAGCAGCAGCTCTAGCTCATCCGGGTCGGGGTCGGGTTCGGGTGGGAATGGAAATGGGTCTCACTTTCTTTCCACCTCTAGAAGGTCAGATTCCGGCGAGTTATCGGCTGATAGTTCTCCGACGTCTTCAGTAGGTGGGTCTTGTTCAAAGAAGTCGACTCACTTCCGATCCTATTCCGCCGGAGGAACCGGTGGTCACCCGTTAATCTACTCCGGCGGAAGCTCTGCAACTTCTCCGACCACCAATGTGCTTCCGACCGGCAATATTTGCCCGTCGGGGAAGATATTAAAGACAGGTATGATGGCAAACCGGAGCTCCAAAACAGACGTATTGAGTTTCGGAACCTGCAACTACGGCCATGGCAGCATAATGCGAGGCGGTTCCGCCACTAAAACCGCCGTCGCCGGCGGCGGAACTGAAACCCCTTTTCCGAATCCTCGAAGTTCGAGGAGATCATCAATAGATCCTGAAGAACTGAAAAGAAAAGGAAACGAAGAATACAAAAGGGGACACTTTATAGAGGCACTGAGTTACTACGATCGTGCCATAGCAATCTCGCCGGAAAATGCTGCCTACCATTGTAACCGTGGAGCAGCATTGATGTCTTTGAAAAGATTGACTGATGCTGTGAAAGAATGTGATGAAGCCATTAAATTGGATTCTGGATACGTGAGAGCTCACCATCGTTTAGGATCTCTTCTTATTAGGTGAGGGTTCAATAAAAAGCTATGATCTTTATTTATGCATTTATAAATTTTCAAGCAATCTTTATGATCAATCTATGGCATCAGTTGTGGTTCATATGTGTTTTTTGTTATTCTGATCTTACCTTCATTGCTGGCTGTTTTACTTTCTGAGTTGGGCATAATCAGGTTGGTTCAAACCAGAACAGTTGATCAAATAAGAAAACAGTGATTTTGTACTATATTCACATGTGATTTTGCATTACAATTACATATTCACATGTGATTCTGCACTTACGTAAAATCACATGTGGTTCCACTTATTTTGACCATGTTTTCGTTTGAAACTCTCTCTAATCTGTTCTATTTTGCATTAAATACATGTTTCTTGATCGGTTTTGATTTAGGAAAGTGGTTTTTATCGTTGGTAGCTTGAATAAATGATTGATTTTGAGAAACGAAGCATCTTTTTTGTGGGTTTGCCTTAGATGTTTTGCTGTATGTATATCTTGCAAATGGGTGTTGTTATGTAACCGTGTGCCGCAATTCTTGATGACGAATTCGTGATCACAAGCTCGAAACGGTAGAGTTGGTTACGTACTTCTCTTGTTGTTTCTCTTGTTTGTAACACAAGAGTAAGCGAATCTAATCTGTGTAAGCAATGACAGTTTAGGGCAGGTGGAAAATGCCAGGCGACATCTTTGTTTTCCAGGGTCCCAACCGGATCCAAACGAGCTCAAGAGATTGCAAACAGTCGAGAGCCACTTAAGTAAGTGCACCACATCTAGGAGGGTTCGGGACTGGGCTCGTGTTTTGAGGGAATGTGATGCTGCAATTGTTTCCGGAGCCGATGCTTGCCCTCAGGTAAAATGAATTGCTATCAAATACCTATTATTGCAGGTTTTTGGAAGTAGAAGTTAGGTTTGCATACATCTTACCCTCCCCATACCCCACCTCTAGGTCGGAATATATACCGGGTTCGTTTGGTTTGGTATTATTGCAACTTTTTGGGATAGATGTCAGATCTATATATACAGGGTTAGGTTCAGGGGAAAACCGTAAAAAAAATATGAAAAACTGAGGAACACCCTGGTAACGATTCATCTGAAGCCTCTATATAGGATGTTCCTCAGTTTTTCACTTTTTTGTGTTTTCCCCTGAACCCCTCTCTCTCTCTCTCTATATATATATATAGGGTCTTGTTATGTGGAAAACCAAAAAAAAACGAAAAATTGTAAAAAATGAAAAACGGAGAAACCCTCTTGTAACCTTTTATTTGTACGGTATGCACCAGGATAACCACAAAAAATGAAAAACCAAGGAACACTCTAGTGACCATTCATCTGTACGGTATGCAAGTACATATGAACGATTATTAGGGTGTTCCTCAGTTTCTAATTTTTTTGTTGGATTTTCCCCTTAATCTCCCAGGTCCGCCTACATTACCCTTTCCGTGCCCCACCTATGTACCGAGTTTGTTTAGTTTGGTTTCGTATTATTGCAACTTTACGGTTTGATCTTGTAAGTGGATTGTTAGCATTATCGTAACATAACTGAATGTGTTGATATCGAATTGACAGCTATTTGCGTGTAAAGCAGAAGCCCTATTGAAGCTTAGTCGACTAGATGATGCCGATTTAAGCCTTTCAAGCATGCGTAAATTCGAAGCATCTTGCAGCCTCTCGTTTTCCCAACAAAAGTTCTTCGGGATGGCTCCCCAAGCGTACCTTTTATTTGTTTCGGCTCAAATTGACATGGCAATCGGAAGGTGAGTTTTTCTGTGTTTTTGTTAGGGCAACGTGCATTAAAACGCAACAAAGTTTCAAACTTCTCTATTATACACCCGTTTTGACTGATAACGTGCTGATCTTGCAACATGTCATCAAATTTTACGAGATCAACATCGTTACCGGTCAAAGTGGTAAAAAATAGGAAAATTTGAATCTCTGTTACATTGATTGAGAAAAAATCTCTCTACGTTACACCAAATAGGAACCAAGGCAAATTCCGTTGCATTGTTAATGCATTTTACCGTTTTTTCGTTACAAGAATGACAAGAACTCGAAACGGTTTTGAAGATTTATTTCCCTTTTTCTTGTTAAAGGTTTGAGAATGCAGTTACCACTATCGAGAAATCCGGACAGATTGACCCTCGAAACGTTGAGATTGCGGTTTTGCTTCAAAATGTTAGGTCCGTTTCGAGAGCTAGAGCCTGTGGCAATGATTTCTTTAAGTCGGAAAGGTTTAAAGAAGCGTGTTCGGCTTATGGGGAAGGGCTTAGGCTCGATCCTTCGAATCCAGTTCTCTACTGCAATAGAGCCGCTTGTTGGTTTAAGCTCGGACAGCTGGAACGATCGCTTGATGACTGTAATCAAGCGCTTCTTATCCATCCAAACTACACGAAAGCGCTTCTTCGTAGAGCTGCCATATACACCAAGGTATACAAGCGTTTACGTTCCCTCACCAAAGTTAAATTGCCAAATGCCCTCACCGATCTAGCCGATTTTGGTTTAGTTGTGCGTGTTTATTTTTGAAAGTCAACAGGTACTTGCCGTTGTGGTTCTTCTGTGATATCGAATCTTTTCATGTTACAGCTTGATCGGTGGGCTGAATCGTTGAGGGATTATGAAGTGTTGAAGAGAGAGCTTCCAAATAACAACGAGATAGCCGAGTCTTTGTTCCATGCTCAAGTCGCTTTGAAGAAATCCCGTGGTGAAGAAGTATATAATATGAAATTCGGAGGTGAAGTTGAATCGATTACGAGTCTTGAGCAGTTTAAATCTGCAGTTGCTTCCACCGGTTAGTTCAATAGGGGAAAGTTCATTTAGAAACAGTGAGAAAGAATCAACCATTCATGATGAATATGCCTAAATGTTCATTAATTTATTCATCATGAATGTCATGCATTTTCATTATTCATTAGTGAATAATTCATGAATACTTGGTTCTCACGGTTCTCAAAATATCTACGGTTATGTCTCCGGTTACCTTTATGCTCTTCCTCAATGCATGGGCTTCAAACTTGTGCTGAATCTTTAAATCTTGAAATTGCAGGAGCTTCCGTCGTTCTTTTTAAATCATCATCCGAACCTCGATGCAAGCAGATTTCTCCGTTTCTGGACACCTTATGCACCCGATACCCATCTATAACGTTTCTTAAGGTAAAAACAGAACCGCCTTTTGTGTTCTCTTTGCATGTTCATCTCTTTTCGTGTATATTTCGTTTCTTCAAAACCCCATCTCCCAAAACGATAACAAGAACAACAGGTATCCTAAACAATCAAAAAGTCCGAAACTTTCCACCAAATGAAGCAAATCTAGAGTGTAAAAGTTGCTGCATTCACATATGAATGTAGGAACTTCTACTAATTCAAATTGTTCTATATCCAAAGGTTGACGTGGAAGAAAACCAAAAAATTGCAAAATCCGAAAACGTTGGCATTGTACCCACAATCAAGATTTACAAAAAGGGCAACCGTGCGAAAGAAATGGTGAACCCGAGTCAAGAAGCATTGGAATCATCGGTCAAGCCTTACAGTTCCTAAAAGCATCACCACAATGGTAACTTCATGATCCACCCCCTTCACCACACAGAATACTATCGGGTTTTTTTACATTTCGACTGTGTAAAAAGCGCCATAATCCGACCGTTTGGTGCCAAAATTTGGGACCGACGTGAAGAGGAAAGCAGAGACGGTTGGGTTCGTTAGAATTTTCGTAGTTAAAATTACTAAAACACCATTGGAATGCTGTTCTGTTTCATTCATTTCTGGGTTATTAGAAGTTGGATTTGTATGTGTAGTTTGTAGGTGTATATATATATGTGAAGATGGTGATACAAACAACAAACCAAAAGGCAACTTTTGGAGGAAATTGGATTGTGGGATTGTATTTTGTGATATTTGGGGGTTCCTTTGATTGATCATATGGGTGTGAACAAGGGGGTTTAAATGTTTGAAATATGTGGATAAATGTGTAACGGGTTTACCCGATAAGTGTTTATCAGGTAAAATATATGTATCAACTATCTATTTTAATGATCGAGAATGCGACTGATAAGCTAAATAAGTGTGATGGCTTTTACTGATAAACGTTTACCTGATAAGTATCAGTTAAAATGCTATAAATGTAATGTTAAAGTGGTTAAAGATTGTGTAAGTGATGAAAGACAATGTAATATTTTAATTGAGATTAAGTCAGATTGGATTGTGAGTAAACATAATCTTAAGGGGTTGGTTTATCTAATATTAGATAAGAAGATGATAAGACATAACTGGTTCTGAAATTTTGGAAAAAACAAACAATTTAAATGAGCCCACCTCTTACTAAATCAGACATAACAAACAAACAAACAAGGCCTTACTCAAAAGGTAAACTACAAAACCGCAACTTGACGGTTTGTATTTTTTTTCGCTTGCAGAGTTTTTTTTACATCTACATCGTATCAGAAAAGTCTGACAACGCAAGCCAAGTTGTCGTTTTTATGGTTTGTGGGACATTTTGTGTTAAATTTTAAATAAGTGTTGGTCAAGTAGCTATGTAGGTTGATGACTCCCATATTTGGCATAGAGAATGGGACATGACTTTGCAAAAGATTTTATCTTTATTTGGTATGACATTAGTTTTATACTTTGAGTTTGTTTGTTTATCTTTTAATAGTTTTATGAAGAGGTAATTTTTAAATCATTAAGAGGTGATTGTTTGATAAAAAAAAGTGTGCCTCTTAATGGTTCTAAAACCTTCTGAATGATTTTGTATCGTAGGCCTCCCTTAACCATTCAGCCCCCTAATTTCGGTGTAAATAATTACCAAACAACTGTATTTTATTTTGCTATATCATGAGGGTCTTAATTATTCTGACAACTTTTTACACCAAACCATTCGGTAATTGCCAAACAATCCCTATATGAAAGCTCGGAAATGTTTAAGATTTGGATCAGATTGGTTATATTTTGATAGATCATAATCGATTGGTTCTTACGCATATAATTTTTATTTCATTTTATAAATAACCGATCAAGATAGGACCCATTTTTTAATTTCTATGATATCATTAAATTCATATTTTATTCAAAACAAAAAATATTGTCACTTTTTTTTTTGATTAACCTGGATATCCAACCCGCTATGCGAGCCGACTAATCCCAAGGGATACCACCTGCCTTGTAGATAACTCGGAGTTACCGTACTTGAACCTCCATGGCCACAAAAGAATTTTTATTTCTCCTTGGATTTGAACCTGGGACCTCCATGTACTTTTGACCTTTGGAGTCAAGCTCAAACTAACCAGACACCACCATTGTGGTTAATACTGTCACTTTTCAAAACCACATGAAACCGTATTATATCGACAAAGATATATAATAAAATGAAACATTAAAATCGAAATGTATCTCGCTGTATTGTATGAGTAACCTTTTAATATATATATATATATATATATATATATATATATATATATATTTACACATGAATGAAAAAACCAAAAACTTATCCAAGCTACATAAATGAGATGTTGGATCAAATATTTTATGCAACTTTGTGATGAGAATCTGTTTGATTTGATTTAATATATCATCCTTTTTCATTAAATGAACAAGTACATTTTCATTTAACTACTTACATTGATGCATTATTTATTTATTTCTTTTATTTTATTTATTTATTTATTTATAATTATTATCCAAAATAATCATTGCACATGGAATGTAAGAAAAAAGTCCTTTTTTTTCTGAATTTTAGATTCTTTAAAAAGAATTAATATTTAATATTTCTAAAAAAATAATATTTAAATTCTTACAACTTCTTATTTTAAAAATTACACCATTAATAAAATATTTTATATATTTAATAAAATATTATATTTATTTCATAAACTTTTAATTTTTCAAAGTTTTTTTATTGGTAAAAAATATAATATAAAAATATTTATCTCTCATGGTAATTCTCAAAATTTGGGAACTCTTGTTTTCTATGAACGGTCTGAAGTAGAGGTGCTCAAAAACCCGATCAACTTAACCCAATCCAAAGCGAAATAACTTAACTCAAAGCAACCCGATGTCTAATCGAGTTGTAAAATTTTCAAAACCGTAAGTATTTGTTTGATATTGGGTTGCTATTATTTGAACCCAACCCAACCCGATATCCTTTTATTTTTTGGATTTAATATGATCGTTGAATTTCTATCGCGTACACTCTTCATATACACATATTTTCAATCTATTAACATCTCTATATAACGCATTCGTATATATGTTTAAAAAATGTGAACATATATATATGTAAATTGAGAAAATTAACTGAATATGATATACGTAAGAAGTATGAATAAGTTGTATCAAATGGTTGATGATGAAAATAAATTATAAGTAGAAAAATAACATATTCAAGGTTAGAAGAATATTTTAATGTACCAAAGTATTAACCCGACCAACCCGTACGGGTTGGGTTGGGTTAAGATTTTTCAAACCACAAGCATTGGGTTGAGTTGTTCAAATGTCTTCAACCCGATCAACCCAACCCATGAGCACCCCTTGTCTGAAGAATCTATTGCAACAAAAAACTTGTCCAAAATCCAAAAAGATCCATTTTAGAAATCTGTTGAAGATACCCCTAAAAATCAAGTCCAGTATTTACGTCATGGTCGTTTTGCTTTGTCCTTGGGCAGTTCCGAGTTCCGACTACTTCCACATGTACTGGATTTTGGTTTCGGTTGGTTTTATTTTTCTAAGTTTGCTTGTTTCATGTCGGTTCTACATCTTGCAGAAGCCTTTTTTTTGTCTATTTGCTCATTTTGTTTCTAATAAACTGTTGGCCTTTCAAAAAACAAAAAATCTCAGATCTATTTATTTCTCGGTCTCAAACAGATATTTAACTGAAACTTCTATTCTCTTATAAAGCTCGATAGACTACACCCACAACTGTTCTCGTCACAAGAAAAGTGAAAATGTATTCGGAAAACATATCTAAAAACATAGTTTTTACAAACCAAAGAGCTTTTGGCCTAACGGTATCGTAGTTTTCGCCTCCTAAGAGGTCAAAGATTCAAACTTCACAAAAAGTGAAGAGGGTGTGTAAGTTTATTTGTTGCATTTACCATATATAAATATTATAAGATATTTATAATAAAAAAAAAGGAAAAAGTAAAATATTAAATATAGGAGTTGGGTGGTCACACAAGGTTTAAATTCAAACATCATAAACGTGACCCATAACATCAACATTACATGGGGGTGCATAAACATGTGTATGCAATAAATTGCAAACTCCCAAAAACACTTGTAAACATACTTTTACCCCTTTTATCTCACTTTTAGGTTAAGTTTAATGTAATAAAATGTACACAAATATTTCCTCTCTAACAAAAACTAGTAAGGTTATTTCGGTAATATTACTGTACCAGATCGTATGGATAAACTTTCAGATCGTGCTTTAACACAGGGACGGACCTATATTGGTACATACAGTGGGACCTGCCACCGTATTATTCCTCCGTCAAATGGTAAAAGATTTTGGATTTGTGAAATGTGCAACCATATTAATTTGTTGTGTGTTACTGTGTATATTGAAACTATAATGAAAACAAGTTTTATTTGGTAAAGTTGGTTTACAAGGCTTTTATTCCACCCCATATCCAAGTTCGAATCCTGTTAGTGTCATTTTCTTAGTCAAATAGTGTCATCGTTTGAAAAAAAATTATGTATATTTGTTTCTTATAGTCAAATGGTATCACCGTTTGAAATTTTTTCCCTGTATCTTTTTCTTATAGTCAAAGGGTGTCACCGTTTGAAAAAATTTCTAGGTCCTTCCCTGCTTTAACATACACATATTGAAGGGTCATCATGTTCAAAACACGTCTTCATAAGGTGATGAGAACCATGTTGCCGATAATAAACATAAAACTTAATCCAAACAACCTAAGATTGTCACTGATTACGTACTTCTAGTTTGGAACTAGCAAATAGTTATAGAATTTCAGGTGAATTTATGCTGTTAAAAACTTTTTACAAATGAAATGTCCCAGTAAACCTAGCCTAAAGCTTTGCGGGTGAAAATATGGGCATTCTTGTAGAACTTTTCAGAAATAGACATCAAACATTGAAGAAAATTATTGATGTCGTGCAGATTCTCAATCGCACATGGCAAGAACATATTACATATGCGCATCGAAGGGTCATTACTTTCAGAGCACGTCTTTACAAGTTGACGAGAATCACGTTGTTGTGAGTAATAAACATAAATTTTAGTCCAAACAACCTATGATTGTCACCATCACATACTTCTAATTTGGAACGAGTAGACCTTTATAGAACTTTAAGTGAACTTACGCTATTTGAAACTTTTAACAAATGAAATATTCCCGGTGCCAGTGGTGGACTTATAGTTTGAAAGGAGTAGGGGATCCAGGAAATTAATGGGGTGAGGGCACGTTGGATGGGAGGGGAGGCAAGCATATGTCCATATGGGACTGGGGGAAACTATGTAAGACGAGAGTAAAAATATAAAATTTAAGCTATTCAACAAACGTTTTTGGTCTTTGACTGGGGGCTTTCCCCCCGGTCCTTAAGGGCCAGATCCGCCCCTAGGGGAAGGGAACCCACTAGACTTTTTAATTTACAAGGGTTAAAACCATTTTTTTTTAATTTCTCACTTAGTTCCTCCCAGTAAATTTTTGCAAGGAACCCTACAACCTAAGCCGACCTTCGTCGACTCTAAAAAAGTCTCTTGGAATCAAACAAAAATGTCTCTTGAAATCAATCAAAAAAACCGAAAAACTCCTTCGAAATCGACAAAAACTCTAAAAAAAATCCCTAAATATCCCTTGAAACGGTGTAGTTAGGTTAAAAATACGTGAAGAGGCTTTGTGCGCCTTTAGTCTACTTTAAAGGTGATCCAACTAGGTGAAAATCCTAGATGTGCCACTGCCTGCCGCTCTAGTCTAAAGTTGAGCGGGTGAATAGGTGGACATTCATACAGAACCTTTTAAAAATAGACATCAAACAGAAAATAAAATTATTGATGCCATGTAACTTTTCTCACATGGGAAGAACATATGCGTATTGAAGGTCATCACGTTCATATCACATGTCTTCATAAGTTGATGGTTGCCGGTAATAAGCAGAAAAACGAGTCCAAACAACATAAGATGATCACTGTTTACGTACTTCTAATTTAGAATAAGCAAACAATTATAAAGCTTCAAGTGGATTTACGGTGGTCGAAACTTTTTACAAAAAAAAAAAAATTAGACTTACGCTAGCCCAATGTTTACAGAAACCTATTAGGTATTAAAGGGTCATCAAGTTCAAAACACGTGTCTTCAAATATAAGACTTCAACACTGTTTGTTTATTTCTTAATAATTTCATTAAAAGACAATCTCCGCTAAAAGATGAATATTGTTTGACAAAAAAAAGAGTATGTCTCTTAATGGTTATAAAACCCTCTGAATGATTTTGTATAGTTAACTTTCCTTAACCATTCAACGACCTAATTTCATTTTGAACAATTACCAAACAATTATATTTTATTTTATATTATATCGTAGAAGCCTCTGACCATTTATATCATAAAAACCTCTTAATAATTTAATAATCAGTGTGCAATGATAATTTAACAACTGCCAAATAATCATTCAGTGTTTATTTTATAAACCTTTTGCTGTTTAAAAGACAGAGATGTAAATCAGTTAGCCATCACTAAATGCAAATCTGCAACATTTATGGGTGCATTTATTATTATATTATTTTTGACATGTGATCTTGAAGATTACACCAATAAATATGAGGCCACGAGTGGGCCTTAAAAAGGATACGAAAAATAGCCCATTTTCAAGTCACAAGAAGCCTATGATTAGGTAACCATCAAAACATATATATAAATGCAAGCCTTTTGGCAACAGGGTTTGGAAGAGAGAGAGAGAGAGAGAGAATGTGTGTTAGGTTTATACAAAAGAATAACCATATAAAAAAAATGGTCGAATCACACGTGATTTACACTTAAAATCACATGTAAAATCACGTGATTCACGAGATTTTGGTTGCGGCCTGAGGTCACGATTCATATCTTCCAACATCCTTGCATTAAATGTTGGTGTAAAATCACATACAATTTTACACATGATTTGATCATTTTTATGTTCTCTTATTTGATTATTGCTCTAGCTTGAGCCTCCCCCCCTTCTCTCTCTCTCTCTCTCTCTCTCTCTCTCTCTCTCTCTCTCTCTCTGTGTGTGTGTGTATATATATAGGGAAGGGTTCAAACCAGAACACCTTCATTTTACAAGAACATTAGAACATCCTTTTACCACAGTCAACCATATGTGATAATAAATCAGACACGCAAACTAACATAAGCGTGCCGCTTGTATTATCATATATGATAATGGTGTTCTTGATGAGATACTATAATGCATCACACGTGATACTAATTCAAAGAAGCAGACGGCCTTTGGTACGACCTAGGTCGTAGGACACGTTGTCGACACACAGCAAGAATTAAAGCAAAATATCACATCTAAGATACTAAAATAAAGGTCTTAAAAACAAGTTGCACAAAGCAAGAATTAAAACAAAATATGTTGCATTTCCATATAATTTTCACCAATTTTGATCAACAAAAATATTTACTGATCTTGAACGTTGCAACAAATGTCACACACATCACCTAAGAGCATTTTCTACCGCTATGCTATAATTTTTCTATAATATAGTATGAAAAGCCAAATCTCTAAAAGGTTTTACATTCAACTCCAACCGCTACTCTATTTTAGCAACTCTAACATTTATTATATTAATAAAATATTTAATACATTTAATAAAATATTATTTATCAACTACAAATTTAATTTAAGTACCTCTTATTGGAGAAAAAGAATTAAAATATCATCTCTCTCTACAATGTTCTAGAGATTTCTCCAAATTTACTTTACTTTAACATACCATTTAGCATAACTAATGGGGCAAATTGCATAAAAAAGTAACGTGCTTTAACTGATTCCTATTTTGGTAATGTATTTTCAAAACTTCTATTTTGGTATCTAAGATGTAAAGTTTTAAACATTTAAGTATCGGGTAACCGCTTGAAGACTAATTTTAGATTAAAAAAAATCTATGTCACTAACCACGTCAGTAAATAATATTGAGTTAGATACCACAACTTGCCACATCAGCATGATAACAAGTTGATTCTTCAACCGATTACTCGGGTACTTAAATGTTTAAAACTTTACATATTAGGTACCAAAATGAATGTTTTAAAAATATGTTAACCAAAATAAAAATCAAGTTAAAATACGTTACTTTTTCATGTAATATGCCTTGAAGATACTCTAAATTACTAAACCACCAATAAAAAGCATGGAGAGCAAACAACTTTATTTTAATGAAGTATTTATTTGGTTCTTGCTAGATTTTTTTCCCATGTGTAAATATGTCCATCTCTAAAAATTTATGTAAAGATGCCTACCTCCTCCCCACTAACGGGTGTTTGGGATTGCTTATGTGAAACAACTTATGCTTTTCCACAAAAGTCCTTATCAACTTATTATAAGTTAGAATGATTTAACTTCTTCAAAAACTCCTTATTACCGGTTTGGCACCGGTATCAGTTGTTTACCCAAACACTCAAAATTGCTTATTACCGATGTCACACCAGAATAAATTAATAAGTTGTTTTTATAAGCAATCCCAAACACCCCTAAACCTGCAAGAACATTTCATTTGTAAAAAGTTCCCAAAAACACATTTAAAGTTTTACAACTAGTAGAGAGCCTATCCTCCCAAAAAGTCAAGGTTCAAACCTTGGTGAGGAGTGTGTGTAAGTATTTGTCGTATATAAATATCATATATACTTAAAAAAAAGTGAACTATGCATAGTTAGTTCATTTACCTTTCCACGAACCTACGCGACAGCTGATTTCTTCACTGTAACTGCAAAACTATAGCTCGTGTGCGTATAGAATCTATAGATAAAACATTTGGTGAAATCTTAACAATGAGAAATAGAACACGAGTAACTTATCTCGAAAGACGAGGGTTAACAACATTTATCATCCGGGGCTTAGCAGCAAGGGGGGGATGAACCTTTTCCCCAGTTGCTCACATTTTTTGGGCATCAATATCTAATTATAGTACATGTTATCTTCTCGGGGCAACATGGTGGCCGGTGGCGTGTGCCCCTGCTTTAGGTGCCACTAGCATACAAATGGGTCCATTCCTTTGCTGCAAGGATTTATAGACGACACATAATGGAAGTCTTAAACAATGGAGAGCAAAAGTTGATCAAATGAACAAAACTATGGCTATTACACATACCTGTTTCGACAGCATCAGCTTCGTCAGTTTTCCAGTGCTTCGCTATGTTCTCAGATAGCGGATCATCTGGGTTTGGAGCACTCAAAAGTGCTTGAATGCTAGTACATGCAGTTCAAGAATGTGAAGGTCAAAGTTCCATTTTTGTTGGTCGGATGGGAAAAGGGGTTGAAATCAAGCTAAGCTTTTATCAAGGTTCTAAATGGCATAAGGTAGGGCGTGGCAGTGACGCCAAGCCTCGAGCCTCGGCGCTTTTATAGCAACAAATCTCTATATCATATATAATATTATGTATATAATTGTATAAACATATGTTTTCTACAGTTACTCAATGAGTCAATGATATTAAATAATTTAAATTAGATCATTTATTAAAAATTAACAAGTACGACATTAAAAAGGTAAGAAAAATCAAACATCGCGCTAAAAAACTGCACATTAGGCCATGGCGTGCCACAGGCTCAACGTGGCGTCAGATACAAGCCTTGATCCACGTCGGCTGTTGCAGCGAGTCTTTTAGAACACTGGATTTTATTGGGCCCGAGTAAAACAAGCTCAAGCATAAGAAGGTGCTAAACTTGAGCTTAAATTGCGGCTGCTAATAGGCAGCTATGGGTTGGTGCCTAAACTAGATTGAATTTGGAAGTAACCTGAGTTACATGTCAATTTCTAGTAATTTCTCATATTGTATTTTGGGTATCTTCTATGATTTAACAAACAAGCGATTGTCAGTCCATCCAGCAATCCTACAAGTTGTCTGCAAGCGTCTTTTTTAACGATCCTTTTAATGCAACTGCCATGGCTACTACTGATCTTTTGATGTATGGGTGCTCTCTAACTTGTTGGTATCAATATATTATCAACTATATATATATATAGGTAGAGGGCGAATCAATGAGAACCTAATATATGTTGAGAACCGATCTCAATCATCCAATGGCTTCAATCATGGACTGTGAAAACCCGGTGACAACTTTCACAACCAATTTCAAATCTAATAAAAGGTTGAGAGAGAAAACAGAGGATTTAACACAAGGATTCCAATCCAGCGAATTGATGGCACACGTGATTGGTCTCCTCTCTCCAAAATCATGAATTTCCTACTGCAATTTCAGAAAACTTGGAAGATATGGATTTTTTTAATTCAACATTGGACAATCAATATCAACAATGGTTGCTCCAAGTTCAAGCAAGTGAGAAGGGCATATGATTCCAAAATTTAAGATAAAGTGTAATGTATTTTACACAAAATTTCACAATTTTAAAATTTGAACATTTACAGGTAAAAGAAAAGCGAAGGAGTTCAAGAGAAAACAACATTCAGCAGACACTTATGAACGTGTAAAGATTGAAGAATAGGAAAATGTACAAGATGTAGTTAAATCACAATTACCAAGTGTTCATATGGAGATATTTAGCAGGTGTGTCAAGACAGCCAATTAACCGACCTCAAATATCTCACTGTCATATATTGTTGCATGTCGGGAAAAACAATCTTAGCTTTTAAGATGCTCCCCAAACATATATATTTGCTTGAATGAACGTAAAGTGTTAAAACTTGTATCTACCGGTATGCATGGCACCTTCCCATATTTACTTCCAATATCAACCTTTGTTGCATTATTATCAATAATAACATGTCAAACCTTGTATTGTTTCACATGTAGAGAAACAACAATTTATTTTAAAACATGTGAACCAACACTACAATGTAAAACACGTGAAACCCTTTGTCGGTTGTAGTAAACCAAGTTACACCCCATGGTATTTCAAATATGAAACTGCACTACATTGTAGAGCATGTGAAACCATGAGTTGTTTCACACATGAAGAAACACTACATTGTAGAACCTCAGAAACACTGTTGTTTTATATATGAGACAACAATGTGTTTTTTGACATGTGAAACAACACTATTTTTCTTTCGTATTTCTTATAGCATTCAAAGGCATATTATACATGTACCTTCACTATCATCCATGGTCAAAATTTATTTACTACCTTATGAATCTTTTCCATTTTCTCCATTCAAACATTTGTTGAGTGTGACTCAACCACATTTTGTACAGTTTCATCTTCTGCGATCTTATGGGTTCATCAGTTGTGTTGACAAACCTGCTGAATATTGTTTCCTTTTGAATGCTTTTGCTTTTTCTACTAAATTTTATGTGAAAAATAGACAACAAAGTGAAATATGTGCTCTCCTCATCTCTTAAACTTGCTGCAACCATTTTTCATATTGATTGTTCAATTGGAGTACAAAAACCACAAATCTTCAAGTTTCAGTAGTCGTGGAAGAAAATACACTATCTTGGAGAGAGGAGGGAGATTATCATTTGCCGCTAATTTGCTTGATTAATATTTGGTATGTCAAATCCTTGTTTGCCCTCTCAATTTCCAACTAGATTTGAATTTGGTTAGGGTTTTCACAATTATTAGTTTATTACAAAATAGCCGCAGGGTTTCATAGCCTTTTGGTTAAAGCCATTGGATAATTGAGAATTTGAGATTGGTTTTCATGGTTCTCAACATTTTTGAGGTTCTAATTTGTAGCATACCTCCATCCATGGTTTTAAAAAACATGTGAGCCGCACACCTCAAGGCGTGCCTCAAAGCGAGGCAGCCAAAAACCGAATGTGAGGCGGCGCCTCTCCAAACATAGTTCGGCTGTACGCCTTGGTTGACAGAAACGAGGACCGAGTCGGTGAAGCGGTGAGATGATAATGAGGCTGTTGCCTTCGTTGACCTGTCTAATTTGTATGAATCCACACAAAAGCATGCCACTTTATTCTCTCTCAATTGTGAAACCACCCACCTTCCCACTTTGTATATTATCCTCTACAAGCAGCACAGACACATATAATATTATATATTATCTAAGTCTCCCACCATCCCACTTTGTATCACTTGGTATATTTTCTCCGTGAGTAATATATATATATATATATATATATATATATAATTTGACTCTCTCACTTTCAATGTGTATATATAGTGTCTAGTCGCAGTATATGCATTCTGTTTTTTTTATATTTTTTAAGGGTTATGAATTTATGAATTTTGTTGTTTTATTTTTTGGTGCTTACCCCTCGACTGCCTCGAGGCTTATGCCTCACATACCCAAGGGGAAAACGCCTCGAGGGTCGTTTCCGTCCTTTTAAAACCTTGCCTCCATCCCATAAAAATCACAGCAAGTTTCATTTTGGAACCTCGATTAATTTTTTTTTGGTAAACTTTAAAGATATGATCATGCGACCACTCAAACCATCATCTTTCTGATAATGATATTGGTTCACAAAGTTATGTTGATCAAAACTAAATCTAATTTCCAAATAGTTTCTAAATTTTTTTTCTGGATGTGAAGATTTAACTGGAGCCTGGAGGGCAAAACTTTTAATCACATGCACAGAGACAATTGTGTCAATGTTCATGGGATGAGGAAATAAAATCACGAGTTTCTGAAAAAATCATACTGCTTGCATTTGAGCCTGAATCATAAAAGGCATCTAAAAAACTTGTGTACAAAAGAGTATTATTTGATAATATAAACATTAATAAGTTTGATATTTCTAAATTATCATACATTTATTACTTTATCAGTGGTGGACCAAAGTTTTATAACATAGGTGTGCATTACCATTACAATTCTTTTTTGGGTATGCACTTGTTGTAACATTGGTTTGCCACTGCCAATAATAGATATTGGATGGTCATTTTGTTATCGTTGATATTTTGATACAAATGTTGACTTATTGGTATCCAATAACAAAAGGCCCAGAATTGTACATGTCTATTCTAGAAGGACAAGAGGGGTAAATCAGGAAAGTG